ACTACTCTGAGGCAGTCATGCCAAAATGCTTCAAAACACCAAAGTTTGTTTGTGGCTCCTCAAATTGAAGAAGTCTTTTGGATAAAGGACGAAACGTCTCAGAAATAAATAAAATAAATTTTAAAAACTGTCCAGATGAACTGACTGAACATTGTTGGATTTGTACCTGGATTATTGAGCATGAACTTTGGTGTTTGAACCATTTCAGCTATGGCTGCCTCAGAGGAGATGACGGGGAAGAGGGCGGGCCCATCTTATCACCAGCAAACTGTGTTTTTCCATTATGGGAGTGTGGTACTTGTGGAACTCCAGTTTGTTTGTGGCTCCTCGGACTGAATAAGTCCTTTGGATGAAAGACGAAACATCTCAGAAAACAAAGAAAAATAAAAACCCATCGGATGACAACTTCAAATATTTTTACAGGGTTGTAAATGCATAATTTTAGGTGTACAGTATAAAATAAAAATTCAAGATTTAAAGTATTGAACAAATATATATCCAGTTAGCGCAGGACCCTCGTTTTCTCCAGTACACCAATAAAAACAGCAGAATCGTCTGTGTCTGTTTTGTTTTTCTGACCTTAAGAGTGGACATGACTCCAGTTGTAACTTGCAGCACAGCCTGGACAGTATCATAGCAGTCAAACATGGCCTCCTTGTCCTCCTGAACAGGGACAGAGAAGACGGGAAATGAGAAAGAAAAACAGATTTGCTTATAACGACGTTAAATCACACACAGACGGAAGTCCTATCAAACCTGCAGGTCCTTGTTGTAGGTGCTGGGCAGGCCTTTCAGCGTCATCATGAAGCCTGAACACTGAAACAAAACAGAACAGTCAAGCAAGTTAGAAGACTTTACATTCAAGTGTTTTTCTCTATTTCTGAGCTGGAAAGTGGTTTAATTACAAACTTTATGGTATGGGAGCTATCGGAGGGGTAGTTTAAGTGTGTAGTCTGGAGTCTTACTCTGCCAAAAACACGACCTGCTTTACTCCTAATCAGCTCCAGACTGTCAGCATTCTTCTTCTGAGGCATCAGACTGCTGCCTGTGCTACACACACACCCACACACACACACACACACACACACACACACACACACCCACACCCACACACACACACACACACACACACACAGGTTCAGACTTCACCGACTTTAATAATTTATTCTTGTCTTAGTTTGAGACAAAAGTGTGAACAGGTTTGGTTGAGCAGCTCTTGAACACCTGGATCTACTTGATGTTATCCGTTAATAACTACAGTTGATCTGCACCTACTGTTTTCAGCAGTTTGGTCATAACCAGATGGGAACAGAAAACTAAAGTAGGTGGTGAATTTTGTTTCTAACAACACAGCTGCAGCTGTCATTCAGAAATAATTTGTTAAACAAAATATAATCTGCAGCACCATCTATTTCACTCTGAATCAGAATCAGAATCAGAATGGGATCAAACTTTACACAATGGGCTCTTTAATAGACTAAAGAATGCGTTTTCTGATTTTATAAAGTTTTACTCTTTATTTCTTAGTGTTTTGTAAAATAATTCAATGTATTTTATTGAATTAAAGTTCTCAGATTTTTCCATATTCAGATTTAAAAACTTAGAAGCACGTTTTCTTATAAGGCTGTTCATTTGTTCACTAATCTGATTTCCTATATGCCATAAAAAAGTGGACGTGAAAATGGGTTCCGAGGACTGAAAGTTTACATAACAGCTGTTGTAAGAGCCAAAATGACTGTTATGTGTTGTTATGGTGGCACAGGTGTTCAGATTTGTCCTGCCCTTCAGGTAATTGGATAAGGGGCGTGGTCACAGGTTACTTAGCTGATCTGAGTCATAGCCAGGTGCTGGGTTAGTTGGGTTTTTTTGCAAACTTTTCTGTTGAGCGTCACGCTTTAGAACCATCACTTTTTTTGATTGACATATTTACCAGCGTTGTAAATTAAAACAGGCACTGTTTACTGGATGGCAAAAGTCATTGTGTTAGTTTTAATAAATACGAAAAAAGTTGGACTCGGCATGGCTCATTGGAGACGTGTCACAGAGCAAACCCTACTCAGCCAGCAGCGGCTTTATTTTGTGGATGGAAGTCGCTACAGCTGTGAATTTCTGAAAACTGTAACTCAGAGTCATAAAAAGCTTCACCTGTAGGCGTCAGAGAGTGTGATGAAGGAGAACTCCTTGGTGCTGTACAACAGGAGGTCCTCGGCCATCTTACTGAGGTGGGTCAAACACAGTGAAGCCCAGAACAGAAACTCCACTGGAAAAAAAAAATAAAATCTTTGATAAATAGAAAAATGCTTCATATATTTTTATTGCTTGTATCCATTTGTGTTCTACAGCCGTCTCGAATTTACATACCGACAAAGTCTCTTTGGCCGGTGGCGTCCATGCTGTTCAGACTGATGCCATCAAATCCCAGCTCTACAGATCCACGGAAAAAGATTGGTTTTAAAATGTATATAAATATTCCATAAAAACGTGCACTGCTTCATGAAGCGCATAGTGACCACTTGCCTTGCATGCCAAAGTTTCAAACAAAGATCTTGTGTGATCTCTTAGTGCTCCAAGTGTGTTGAGGATGGCTCCCAGCTACTACTACACCGAGTCATGGCCATTTTGTGTTTGCTAAGGTCAGTTAGCTGTGGCAGCCATCTTGAACCAGGCTAACTCCAAGGTTTTACTGGTTGTAGATTTGCCTCCAATGATCACTTCCTGAGTTTCATTCAGTGCCGTGCCGTGAACACTCAGACTCAAATGCTGCGTGAGCTAAGACGCGATTCTTGCTGAGAATCGCAGGCTACTTGTGGCTCCTGAATCTCACTGGCGGGAAGGAATCGACCTCGGAGAAGTTACAAGCTCGGCTCGGTGGTACTGACCACAAAACTTGGCTGTTTGGAGTCGCCAGTGAGATGTACCAGTAGAACTGTAAGGCAGAGGAAAATCAACAGAGTCAACCTGACCCAAAACAACTGTTAACTGAAGCTGGCTCCCCCGTGTCGGCCTTGGAAGCTGACTATCTCAAATTCTCCTGGATGTTGTGTGAACAAGATGCTCCGCCCCCACTAACTGTTCCCTCCCCAAGGACAGCTCACACTCCCCTCAACTCACCGCCATCGCTGGCCTCCCTCCTTTTGCCCCCCCGGTGGGGTAACCTAGGTTGGATGTGAGGCGCCAGGTGGCTGTGACGCTCTCCTGGGCAGCCTGTGCTGGGAGCACCCCCACTCCCACTTCACCCTCACCCACTCCACATGCATCTTATTGTGTCATCTGTATGTTGCTTTTTTTTTGTGCTGAGTTTTTTTTGCAACCTCACACTGAGTCCTGTTAGGGATACAGTGTGATATGATTTTATTTTACCTCTTCTTTCCCTCGTCTTCCCTTTTCCTTATCTAACAAAAAAGGCAGCGCCTCTCATGAGGCCGCAGCCTCAGACACCCCGTCTTCCCATGTCTATGTTGTTTAGTTGTTTGTGTTTCTTTGGATGGGCTGCACTGAAATTAAATTTTGCTGTGCTTCTTGTGCAATGAAAATAAAGGCTGATTCTGATTCATTAAAATTAATCCTGCACTTCATTACAGTACATTATATCACGCAACAACAACAAACTGGTTGATCCACTATGAGAAGGTGCTATTTATAAGACTGAGCTTAGTACAGCTCTTCAGACTGAAGAAGTCTTTCAGATGAAAAACCAAACTTTTTGACAATTTTTATTTTTTTGCGCCTGTCCAGAGGACTTGACTTAACTTTTTTGGATTTTTCTACCTGGATTATTGAGCATGCATCAGGATACGTTGCAACCCATTAAGCTAAAGTTGAGGTTGGAGTCTTTTATTCCTTTAAATAGTTTTAAACAAAAACTGTCAGATTTGTCACATCTTGCACCTGTAATATTTCTTAAATTGTGATTTTTTTTATTTTTTTACTTGCATTATATTTTATTAACAGATGTTTTGTTGTAAATATTTTAATACTACTGTTGCTGTTCTTAAGACTGTGTTGCTGTATTTGCATATTACCCAGGACATCCTTGTAAATGAGATTAATAATCTCAATGGAGTTCTTCCTGGTAAAATAAAGGTGTAAATAAACGAAAAACAAAATAGCACCTGCCTTTCATGGAGACACAGGTCACAGGTGAAATGTAAGAACAACTAAACCACAACTGGCCTGACCTTTTCTCAAAAGCTCCCTGTTGATGTCAAATGGTGTCCCAGCGATGGCGCCACTGAAACAGGAATATTCCCAGTTACTTAATTGTGTCTGCGAATTTTCACTCACAATCGCACGGAGCGTATTTACAGTGTACCTGCCGAGAGGTAGGACGTTCACTCGTCTCTTGATCTCCAGGAGCCGCTCCACATCTCTGCTTAAAGCGACGGCGTGGCTGCAGACAGGAAGGCAAAGACTGTTGACGGCGACAGCAGAGACGGGTGACGAGCTGCGCCGCCGCCCTCAGAACAAACCTTAGAATCCAGTGGCTCCATCGAATTGGTTGAGCTCGCTGCATGTGGGTGTAACCCGGGAACAGGACGTCAATTTCTCTGTATTAAAACACATACGAGAGCATTTTAACAAAGCAGAAAACCAGACGGAAACTTGTGTTTTTGTTTGTCGGAGTGTGTTTTACACCGCTGCCCGCTCCACCAGGGTCGACACGAGCTGCAGGGAATAGTTCGACAGGGTCGTGATAGCATCTCGCAGCCACAACCTCATGTCAGTCACCACCTGATCAACCAAATCACAGCCAAGAATCAGAATTCACCCCCAGCAGGGATTTACTGTTAAAGTGTCACTGCAGTTTGTTGATTATAAACACAAACCTGATCATTTCTGCTCCTGCCCGTGTGCAGCTTCCCTGCTGCAGCGCCGATCAGCTCCTGCAAAACAAGCAGCAACGGGAATATGACACATTTTATAACAGCAAACCAAAACGTCTGGAGGATGATGGCTCGTTACAATGAAGTTTACAGTTCAAAACATCAAATGTGTCTTTTAGCTTATTTTTAATATACATTTTATGTTAATTGGACATTTATTACTGTCAACAAGTGCTTAAAGCTGCTGTTTGTTAGTTCAGCTCTCATTTTTATGGGTACACTTAAGCTTGACTATAGCTCTCAGAAAGTGATTTATTGCCTGAGTTATTACCTTAATATAGTTTCACAAGATTGACGGGTGCGTTTTGTTTATAAAGTTTTTAAGAGATGAATTAAAGCACATGAAATCCTAGAAATATTTTGTGTAAGTGAGGAAACGTGTCAGTGAAAGAGTTTTATGTGGAAAAACAATGAAATATGGAAGAAAGCTGAAGCTATTGGAAGTCGGTGTCATAAACATTTATGCTGTATCTGTGAGACTGATTCATTGTTTCCTTTCAGCTGGATATTAAGACTTCCTAAAGTGCATGGCAACATGGCTGGTGAAGATTCTCAGTCATCCAGGTAACGGTCCGTTAAAAAGAAAGAACAAAACATCTGGACTTCTATTCTGAAGCTGAAGACGTTTCACTTCCCATCTGAGAGGCTTCATCAGTTCAAAAATGTCTGGAGTGTGTGGAGTTCCAAGATTTATAGGATTTCATGCGAGGCCTGGTTCTTCAGGACAAGACTCAGACGCCACCTCAAAGATAAGAGACACTCTTGAGGAGCAAAATGTTCACATCTTAGACAGAGAAGACCAATGGTTTGAGCGGGTGTGAACTGTGAAGGATAACTTTTATGTCAAACAAGAAAAAACAATTTTAAACAGAGGCGTTCTCAGATTTCAACTTTCTAAAATGTACAATGCAGCTTTAGGCCTGATTCCCAGTCAGCTTCACTCCGATTCGCACCTTCATGCATGTGATCAAACATCTGTCTCGTGATTCAGGCAGACAGAGATGAGCCTCCGTTGGGCGAGTAGTTCCAGTCTAACCTGCATGTGAATCTAAGTACGTAACGAGGCCTCTCATGCAGGTCTACACACTCCAAACATTTTTGAACTGATAAATCCTCCCAGATGGGAAGAGAAACGTCTTCGGCTTCAGAATAGAAGACTGGTTGTGTTTGTTCTTTTTTAATTTTTTTTTATTTTTTTTTGTGGGGGGGGGGGGGATAAAGAGGGTGATAAAACAGTGTTCTGAGAGGCTCGTTAAATTTACCTTAAGCCTGCGCTCGTTGGCAGTATGAATGTCTTCATCTTCAGGTTTGAGCACAAAAACACCTTTTGACCACTCCTCAGAAACCTGCAGAACAAAATGACTGTTTCACCAAATAGATTCACACTCAGGACAACCCAATGGACGCCATCTACAGACCATTAAATCAACATTTTATGCAACAATCGCCATTTTTCACAAAAATTCAATGTCTGTGTTTACATATTGACAAAGCATAACAGCAGGGCAGGCTGAAAAGCTGCCTGAATGAAAGCGTTGCAGCAGCTGGTTGTGCACCTGTCACATGATGACACTATTGTTTACAACACACTCAGCAGAAAACAGGATCTCTGCCTCGCGTGCATTTTCAGCTGCCATCTATCCAACACTAAATAGACACTGGGGCACATAAAAAACACACACAGCTCTGCTAGTTTTAGACTAATATATAAGAACAGTTTCAATGTTTCAGCAATGTGTATTTGCTGTTGTCTGTTTAGCAAAACGTTACTAGAACCGCCTTCTTCCACCTGCGTAGTATCGCTAAATTAGAAACATCTTATCTAAAAATGATGCAGAAAAACTGGTTCATGCATTTGTCACGTCTAGACTGGACTACTGCAATGGTTTGTTATCTGGGTGTCCAAATACTTCTTTAAAAAGTCTTCAGTTGATCCAAAATGCTGCTGCCAGAGTCTTAACTGGAGTTAGTGGGAGAGATCATATCTCTCCAGTTTTAGTTTCTCTCCACTGGCTGCCTGTCAAATCCAGAATTTAATTCAAAATCTTACTTCTAACCTACAAAGCCCTCAAAACCCTAGCTCCATCTTATATTAGAGATCTTATCATCCCATATTTTCCTAACAGAGCACTTCGCTCTCAGACTGCAGGCTTACTTGTGGTTCCTAGAGTTTCCAAAAGCAGAATGGGAGGAAGATCTTTCAGTTCTCAGGCTCCTCTCTTGTGGAACCAACTTCCAGTTTCTGTCCGTGAGGCTGACACGTTGTCCAGTTTTAAGACTGGGCTGAAGACTTTCCTTCTTGATAAATCCTATAGTTAGGGTTGGCTTGTTATGCTGCTATAGGCTTAGACTACTGGAGGACAAATTGACCTAATTTCCTTAAATGAACTGTTAAAATTGAATAATTTTCATTTGATACTATTTCTATCTTAACATGTGATTCTGGAACTGCCATTGTGTATCTGTTATTCCTTCCTGTTCCTCTCAAACCCAGCTGGTCGAAGCAGATGGTCGCTTGTCCTGAGCCTGGTTCTGTTTAAGGTTTCTTCCTCATGCGAGTTTTTCCTTTCCACTGTCGCCTTCATTCTTGCTCAAGATGAGAGTCTGCGATGAAGTTAAATTCAAAGCAGTCTGCTCCTCAGATAATGTTTTTTTTTTTTATGTATATGAATGTTTCTGTCACTTGGCACTATATAAATAAACTGAATTGAACTTAGACATGTGCATGAGTGTGTGCGTGTCTCCTCACCTGGTTTAACCCCTGTAAGATCTGCTCCATTTCCTCCGTGCTGACCAGCTTCGCCTCCTCCAGAGCTTTGACATAAGCCTTGCTCCCTCGGATGTCTGCGTCCCACATCCTCTGGTCATAAGCGACGGACGAGTTGAACTTCTCCATGACTGGATCCGTGTCTCCCACAAAACGACCTCCCCAAAGTTTACTTCCCTTTAAGAGCCAACATGAGAGAGAAATATGAACGGCGAAGAGCTGGTGGTGGTTATAATGGGAGAGAAATTTCTGTGACTGCTTGTTTTGTTAGCGTCCAGCTGGCTGTTGGAAAAACAACAACATACCTCTGTGTTCGCCATATTTCCCGCCGGAAGACGTCTTTATTTTGTTTATTTTCAGGTGGTATAACTTATCCGAGTGGAGGTTGGAGGCCAGCGGCAGACACGAGGCTGAAGCTGCTGGTTTTATTACGGTTAAAACGCGTCATCGGTGACGTCAGAGCGTCTTCTGTTGCTACGTAGCAGTTCGTGAAGTCTTCCGGTGTTGTGTCGAAAAATGTATCCCTACTATGAAACGCACCCGTAGTTCAGAGAGGCGCTTGCTTTCTCTGATAAACTTGATCTCTTCTGGGATGTAAAGGCACACCTTTAAGCCTTTAAAGATTACAGTTCGTTTTTGTTTTGTTTGTTAAGGTGGGTGAATTATAGCAACATATAAATATGATCAATTATGATACACAAAAATGAGACGGCGTGTGTCATATAGGAGACGCTCTGAAGAGCTCGAATGAGTTGAAATATAAACGACTGGTGCTGAAAAATGTATCGCAGCTGTTGCTGCTGACATTTGCTGTGCTGTTCAGGGACTTTTTTTTCAGGGACATGGCATGATGCAACACATGTTCATCCTCTTTTTTTTTCAGATTATTTTAGGACCGTTCCACCAGACGACAGTGGCGTTTCTTTTAGGACGAGCATTACCAGAAAACGTAGAAGAAGAAGAAGACGGAAGAAGTTCTTCCTAGGGGGAGGCGGTTTCCGGAAGTGAAACGAATTCTGGCGAGTAAAAAGTCGATTTCTAAGGCGGTTTTGGCATAATCTGGACTGTGAGTAGATTAAGATGGCTAGTTATAGCGGGGGATGTTCAGAAGATGAAACTATGGACACAGGTTGGGCTTTAGTAGAAAACAGAAAAGGGGGAGGAGGGAGAGATAAGAGTAAAAAAGGACTAAATGTAGGCAAAAGATCTTTGGAAGATGAGGAAGAAAGTGTTGAGATGAGGAAGAAAAAAATGACGGAAGAATCTAAAGTAATCCTGAAATTTAAAACGGGACAAGATATGATTGGGGTGAGTCCGATCAGCTTATCTAGTGGACTAAAGAAAGTTATCGGAGATGTGGAAATGGCTAAAGTCCTAAGGGATGGGAGCCTTCTTATTGTCTGTAAGAATGTTGAACAAAAGAACAAGACATTAAAACTCCAAATGGTATGTAAAAAAGAAGTGGTGGAGAGGAAAGTAGTAGGGGAAGAAAGAGGAACAAGAGGAGTGATATCGGGGATTCCGGTTGGAGAAAACTTGGAGGAATTAAAGAAAGTAATAAAAGGAGGAGAAGTTTCAGGCATTAAACGATTGCAGGCTTTTAGAAATGGGGAAAGATTGGACAGTACATCTGTGTTGCTGGAATTCAAAGATAAAGTTAAACCTGATAAAGTTATGATTGGATACATGAGTTTCAACGTAAGAGTTTATGTTCCACCACCTATCAGATGCTACAAATGCCAAAGGTTTGGTCATTTTGCAAATGTGTGTAGAGGAAAACAAAGATGTGGTAAATGTGGAGGTGAACACCCTTATGGGGAATGTGGAGAGAATCCAGTTAAGTGTTGTAACTGTGGAGGCAATCACACTGCAGCTTATGCGGGGTGTGTGGTCAGGAAAGAAGCAGCTGAAGTCCAGAAAATTAAAACTGAAAGAAAAATTACTTATGCTGAAGCAGTGAAAGAGGTGAAAAGTACGGAAAATGTTAACAAAACAAAGTCAGAAAAGAAAAAAGAGATAGAAGATACTCAAAATAATATCACATTAGAAAAGCTGATTCCATTTCTGGCATATATCATAAACTGTTCAGAGCAAGCAAGGACTAAGACTGAAAAAATAAAAATCATAGTAAAGGCAGCAGCAAAATTCTTTAATGTCAAAGATCTGTCATGGGAGAAAATTCAGGATGAACTTAGATGTGGAGAAGGATCATCTGAAAATGAAGCTCCTCAAATCGCTACATGACTCTAATATTACAATGGAATGCTCGAAGTTTAATAGCTAACGGTCAAGAATTTAAAGGGTTCATTAACGAATTAAATAAAAAACCAGACATAGTATGTATTCAAGAAACATGGCTTAAATCAACAATGCAATTTAGTATTCAAGGGTATGCAGTTTTACGTAAAGATAGAATAAACGGGAGTGGAGGAGGATGCGCCATATTTATAAAGGAAAACTTAAAATTTGCTCAAATACAATTAAATACAGATCTAGAACTTAATGCAGTTAAAGTTTGGACAAATAATGATAATATTAAAATAATTAATTATTATAATCCTTGTAAGAAAATAGAAAAAGCAAAACTCGAAATGATCCTTAGACACTGGAGAGGGAAAATAATTTGGTGTGGGGACTTCAATGCACATAGCACTTTGTGGGGAGAACAAGATGACTATAATGGTGGGGTCTTAGAAGAAATAATTGAAGAAAAAGAAATGGTAGTGTTAAATAATGGTGTAGGCACTAGGGTAGATTTGGTAAGAGGTAAAGAATCAGCTCTTGATTTGACACTGGTATCTCAATCTTTGGCAGATAATTGCAACTGGAAAGTGTATAAAAATAGCACTTTAGGTAGCGATCATTATCCACTTTTTATTGAAGTAGGAATGGATATAGAAGAAGAACAGGTAGTTAGTCAAGGGAAATGGAGGTTTAGGGATACAAATTGGGAAAGCTATAAAAGAATAAGTGAAGGTAGTATGGTGAATATAGATATAAATAAACCAATAAATGAATTAAGTTTAGCAATTAGTAATTGTATTGTGCATGCAGCAAACACAGTCATTCCTAGAAGTAAAGGGGTTAAAAAAAAGAAGATAGTTCCTTGGTGGACTTTAGAATGTTCAATAGCAATTAAATCAAGAAACAAGGCCTATAAAAATCTCAAAAAATATATTTGCTTCCAAAATCTAATAAATTATAAAAGAAAACAAGCAGAAGTCAGGAGAATTATAAGAAATGCTAAGAGGGATTACTGGAGTAAATACTGTGAATCATTGGGGAAAAATACGGCATTAGACAGGGTTTGGAATACCATTAAAAAAATGTCAGGTAAATCAAAAGAATACTTTTTCCCAGTAATAAAAGATAATGGTAACACCATAATAGATAATAAGAATAAAGCTGAAATATTAGCAAAAGCATTTACTAAGATACATAGTATGGAGAATCTTAGTAATTTTGAAAAAAAGGGACGGGAAACGACATTAAATAATCACAGTGAGTTGCTATGTAATGATGAAGATGATGAGAATTTTTTGAATATGAAATTTTCGTTAAAGGAATTAAATAGAGCATTAAAAAACTCTAGTAAATCAACACCTGGGGAGGATCAAGTTAACTATATTATGTTGAATAATCTTAGTGAAAAAAGTAAGAAGATATTATTAGAAATGTATAATAAGATATGGGAGGAAGGAATTCTACCAGATAAATGGAAAGAAGCTATAATTATTCCCATTTGTAAACCTGGAAAAGATCCACATTTAGCTGAGAGTTATAGGCCGATAGCATTAACATCATGTATTGGTAAGGTGATGGAAAAGATGGTGAATAACAGATTAATATATTTTCTGGAATCTAAGGAGAAGATTAAACCATATCAATTTGGATTTAGGAAAGGAAGAAGTACAATAGATCCTATAATATATTTGGAACATGAAATCAGGAGGGCCCAGGTGAATAAAGAGGTATTAATAGCAATCTTTTTGGATATAGAAAAAGCATATGATATGTTGTGGAAAGAAGGTTTATTGATTAAAATAAAACAAATGGGATTAAGGGGTAAAATATATAGATGGATTAAAAACTTTTTAACTGGAAGAAATATAAAAGTTAGAATAGGTAGTGAAGTGAGTTCAAAGCATCAAATTGAAAATGGTACTCCTCAAGGAAGTATAATAAGTCCTATGTTATTTGTTATAATGATTGATGATATGTTTAGTAAAATAGACAAAGCTTTCGGAGTGTCATTATTTGCAGATGATGGTCTTATTTGGAAAAGGGGGAAAAATTTAGAATTTATAAATAAGAAAATGCAAGAGGCAATACATAATGTTGAAGATTGGGCCTTAAAATGGGGTTTTAGAGTGTCAATATCTAAATCCAAGTTTATTACTTTTACTAATAGGAAAATGAATGCTAATGTAAATCTTAAATTATATGAGAAAGATGTAGAAAAGATAGATCAGATTAAATATTTAGGAATCTGGTTTGACAAAAAACTTACATGGAAAATACATGTAAGGAAAATAGTTGAGAAAAGTAAAAAAATTTTAAATATAATGAGATGTTTAAGAGGTAAAGATTGGGGAGCTAGTGGGAAAGTATTAAAAACGATATACATAGGACTAATCAGGTCAGTAATTGATTATGGATGTGTTGTATATAGTTCAGCGTCTAACAGTTTATTAAAAGAAATTGATAGAATCCAATATCAGGCCTTAAGAATTTGCTGTGGAGCAATGAAAACTACCCCAGTATCAGCCTTACAAGTTGAAATGGGTGAGATGCCATTAGAGATCAGAAGGAAACAACTAGCCATTAATTATTGGGCAAATATTAAAGGCCATAAGGAAAACTATCCTCCAAATGTTACATTACAACCTTGTCAAGAAAAAGTAAAAAATACAAAAATTAATAGTTTTGGATGGATTATAAATAATGAGATAAGTGAGCTAGGAATAAGTCATTATTTAATTAGTCCTGTGGTGAATATTCCTGAAACTCCACCTTGGTTAACTGAAAATCCTGAAGTCGATTTAAGATTATTGGAAAAAGGCAGACAAATAGAAAAAAAAGAGGTCGAAAGGTATGTAAATAATGAATATGCTGAATTTCTACAAATATATACGGATGCTTCTAAAATGGTAAATGGTAAAATTGGAATAGCATTTATAGTTCCGGACTTAAATATTATGAAAAATAAAAGAGTAACAGACAGAATGACAGTCTATACAGGTGAGCTAATGGCTATTTTAATGGCTCTAGAATGGTGTGAAGAAACGGGAAAGAAGGAAATATTGATTTGTTCAGATTCAAGTAGTGCATTAATAAGTATTTTAGAACAGAATTCAGATACAAGACAAGATATCATATTGAATATTGGTCAATTAATTTTTAGAATCAAAGAGTTTGGATCCAGGGTAAAGTTGATTTGGATTCCTGCTCATATTGGAATAATAGGAAATGAATTGGCGGATCAATTTGCTAAAAGTGCAGCGAAAAGGGATAAGGTTGAAGTAAATATGAAAATAAGCAGAAATGAAATCAAAAGTATAAGTAAAATATATTTTAAAAAGAAATGGCAGGAATTATGGGATGGAGAAGAAAAGGCAAGATTTTATTATAGCATCCAAAGGAAAGTAGGGGAATGTAGGGAAGGAAATAGAAATAGAAGAGAAGAGGATATTATATCTAGACTAAGATTTGGGCATACGGGGCTGAATAGTACGCTGAAAATAATTAATAAACATAGTACAGGTTTGTGTAATTTTTGTGGAGAGTCAGAAACGGTGCAGCATATTCTTCTAGAATGTAGTAAATACAGCCGGGAAAGAGAGTTGTTAATTAGAGAGATGAATAGTAATAAAATCAATTTAGATGTTAAAAATTAGCTGCAAAGATCTTCTGAAAATATAATTTTTAACAGCATTTTTAGGTTTCTCAAGATGTCAGGCATTATGGGGAGAATATAATGATAGGACATCTAATCTATACTCCAGTCTGGAAGGTGGCGGTAATGCACCTATAAGTTGTTTGCCAACCGCCATTAAACATAAAAGAAGAAGAAGAAGAAGAAGTTCTTCCTCAAAAATAGGCGCGAAAATACAGAGTACGGTCGGGGGTAACAAGCTGACGGTTGGCGCTAAATTCACGATTACGCCTTGTCATTCCTATTTTATGTGAGTTTGAGTCACTTATCGTTATTTTTTGTTTTGTTTTATGACAGTCACGTAGTGCTGGCGAAATTTTTAACGGAGATATATTTTGTAATATAAAGTGAAACTAAACAAGCTAACCAGACTAGCCAGTGCTAGCTGGTGGCGAGTTTTCAGTTGCTATAATTTTTGTTAGTTCACTTTGTGTCGTCAATTGATAAAAATTAACACTTTACTTTAAACATTTTTCACAGTGTCGTATGTATGCTTATTTATATATTTTATATCTTCTATGTAAGAAACGTCATAATTTCTTCAGTAAGAGACACCAACATGGCAAACAACAATGTCGAATCAGCACAGAAGGTACTTATTTTCTAGAGTAATTCAGTCTTCTGCACAAAAAGTATTCAAAAATAACACTTATTATGCTTCACTGTTACATTTGTATTGGTTTTTCAAGGAAACTGAAAGCATCTTGAACAATGAAAACGATGCATCTCTTCTGCAAAATGTAACAAAGGTTTGTCTAATTTTAAAAACCTTTTATCATTTTTTTTTTTTACATTTGAGTAGTCTTTGTTACACTTTTACATGATATGTGCTTAAAATTAAAGTAAAAGTTTCTGGTGTTTATTTGTTGCTGTTTTGTGTTTGTTTTTATGTACCTAGGAGGTTCTGCATTCAACCCATTCATTTGGATGGCGCTGGAGTGACAAGCCTCCCAATTTTATGACCTGCAACAAATTTGGAACTGTTGAGGACTCGCTGAAGAGAAGTAGTCAGTTTAAAAAACTTGCAGCGAAGTGCATAGGCAAAGAGCTTGTTATTATAAGAGATGGGAAAGCGCTCAGTACTCACTTTCCTTGTACTTTAATTCAAAAAGATGATTGTTTGACTGTAAAGTTCGTAAAGGCTGTAGAGCAACCTAAAAGGCATGTTCGTGTCTTTGCCTGCCAGAATGAACCCTCTTGTGAGCTAGTAGTGTTTCATGTGTTAGCAAAGGGAGGTAGAGGAATTGTAAAAGTCATGAGAAATCCATCACTAAGAACAGCAATACATGAAGTTACTGTTTATGCTTACAAAGGGGAAAAAGTGAAGCAGGCTATAAAAAGAGATGGGCGCTTTCTCAATATCGTATTCAAAAAGAACAGTGCACTCTCTTGCAAAAGCGGTGAGGCAAAAATTGAGTTTTCCAATCTCGTTGATGACCTCAGCGACAAAACCTTTCAGGTTATTCTGCTCAGTAAGGGAAGTGCCCCGCACAGTCAGTCTGGCAGTCTTGAGGAAGCTTATCTGACACCAAATGAAAATCAGCCTCAGTCTGACTCAGAAATGGCAGCACACTTAAACAAAACGGATTCTAATGCTGACATTAAGCTAAAACAAACATTGTGGGAAATACCCAACTCAAATGTAATGAGAGATCAGTTATACTTGCAGTTTAAAAATGCAGTGAAAACCATAAAACCTGGGGCTTTTAAGCTTTCTCGTGTCCAGAATCTGTTTCGTGTGGAATTTGGACAGAGTGCTCAGAGGTGCAAGAAAGTGAAAACCATGAAGACGATGATGGAGCTCAGTGATTCAGTATGCCAAGTGAGAGTAAATGGGGAGCCGTATGGAACTGGGTTTCTCCTTTTTGGCTGCTACGTCCTCACTAATGCCCATGTTATTAAAGATCTTTACAATGAGAACAGGGAGCAACTTACTCAGAATGTCTCATTGCACTTCTCATATGAAAGTGTAGAGGACACTGGGGGAGCAGTTGATGTGGAGGAGGTGGTTTGCTTTGAGTACACATGCAATGTGCTGGCGAGAGACTGGGCTTTGCTAAAGCTCAAGACTAATCAGACACTGCCTGCCCGACTCTTAAAACATCTTGGTTTCCCCTCCAAAGATGGTGGGATTTGCATCATTGGACATCCAAATGGAGGTGTGAAAAAAATAGATCCATGCTTGATTGTTCCTTTCCAGAAACGCACTCAGGTTGTGGAGAGGCAGTACTTGGAGAATCAAGATTGTATTCAGTTGATTACTGACTCCTTCTTTGAAAAAGTGGCACAATCTGTCCAACAACAAAGCCAGAATCTGTATTATGGATCTTGTTTTCATATGCTCTCCTCTGGCTCTCCTGTTTTTAATAACCATGGCAACATTATTGCAATGCATACAGGAGGGTATAATTACGAAACAGCAAGGGGTGAGCCCCAGAGTGTGATTGAGTTTGGCCATCCTTTATCTGTCATTATGGAACATCTCATCATTCATATGGTGGAAAGGAAAAAGGTTGACCTTTTAAAGGAATACCTGGCTTGCCGTTACAACCAGAATAAAATCATTATGAAAAATGTGAAGGAACTGGTTGAGAGCAGAAATCTCACATCATTTAGAAACACAGTCAATGATTTAGTTCACCTAAATGATGTCGATTTAAAGGAATTCTGTGAGTTCTTCTTGGTAAAAGAAGAAACCGTTCCTATGGACATTGAGTAACTTGCAGAGTTAAGATCTGAAAAGAAATGCAGTGACGCACACGAGATGATCACACATACAGTATCAGGATGTTCTGGCTTTAAAAACCTAAAAAGTGTAGGCAAAAGTTTTAATCACTTGGGGAAAATGAGGTTTAATTTTGACCGAGCTAACGCCTAGTCAGAGCAGGGACAAGGACACTGGGGATTGCTGGCATCTTAAAATTGTTCTAATCCGTAACGAGAATAAGAAATTCATGCAAGCTCTATTATAGAAAGCTTTACTTTGTTAAACAGTACATGTTAAATTCCTACTGGAAGTGCTACAGCTTGCTGCTGCTGAAGTATCGTTTAAATATTCATGTAATCAGATGGCTGCTTGTCCTGAGCATGGTTCTGCCAAAGGTTTCTGGGAGTTTTTCCTTTCCACTGTCGCTTTCATGCTTGCTCAAGACGAGAGTTCTGTGATGGAGTTAAATTCAAAGCAGTCTGCTCCACAAATAAAAAGTGTTAAAATATTTTATATATATATGAATGTTACTGTTCAGCGCCCTGAGATGACTTCTGTTGTGACTTGGTGCTATATAAATAAACTGAATTGAATTGAACTGTAATGATCATGAAGCAGCGTTCAGGGACCACTGCAATTAAGATCAGTGTTGTCTTAAAATGGTAGCGATGCTTGTACCAAGTTAAATAATCTTTTTTGCAATGATCTATTTCAATTTTCTTCCCAACTGCAAACAAACGTCTGCAGATCCTTTTCTTTACAACTGCCTGTCTGAAATTAATTTGTTGAAATCTGTATTTTGAAATGAAATCTGGTTGTTGTTGGTGTTGTTGTAATATAATCACAAGTGTAATGGTTTGCCAACATTTTTTCCCTGTTACAACTTTGTTTCAAACATTTGCAGTTTAATTATAATTTTAAATCTTGTTTGGTATTGACAACAATATTTAGCTTTTTTTTTCTTGTTTTATTGTATTTCATGTAATTCTGTATGAATTGTTTTTTGTCGGGGTTTTTTTCAATTGTCATAAATACAATGGTGAATGTTGTAAAAGTCCAGCATATGGAAGAAATATTTTGTTTGTCAAACAATGAATTGAAAATAAATGATTCTTGATGAAAACAGACTGCTGTAAGGTTTTTTTTCTACATAAAGTCCCCAAATAATTGTTACTGATAGTTACTTTTACAGGAAAATTAAAACTGGTGTCAAAATGAAAGCTCTTAGAAACGAATTCAGAGATTTGGCAACTGAAATATTTGTTTTCACGTTAACGGGTATATTTAGCTGACAAAAAAATCTGCTTGTGAGTACACTTGAAATATTTTATGACCTGTAAAAAAGTCAAGATCACCTATTTCTCTAAACCAAAGTGGTTAGTTTATTACATTATATTTAAATTCAAATCTTAAATTATTTGTTTTAATGTAAAACATACAGTCCATTTATGTGTTTAATTTCTAATTGTCATGACCCCAACTGGATTGTTATGTGTAATATTTGTTTATTAACGTTCACTTATTTTACCTGGTACTTGTTCCTTTTTAGCTCATTTAATCGTCTTTTATCGGGGTGGGGCAGAATGGTGCAGATCCCAGCGAAGTGAGTGTGTAATTGTAAAGTTGCTGGTTCAAACCCCCCCTAATTGTGACATCAAAATGTGTGTGTGTGTGGGGGGGGGGGGGGGGGATGAAGCACCCACATCTCCCTGGATTTATTTGATATTACCACAGTTTATTAACCATTAAGTGTTCATGAACTGGGGCCTCTTGACAAATATTAATAAATAATGGAATTTAAAGTAGGGGTCAAGAAGCTCTCGACCTTGACCTCTCTAAGTGGCTTTAAGAATCTATTGGACTCCTGGCAAAAACCAATGCAGACATGTTCCTGTTTTTAGTTTTCTCCATTCGCCTTATAATCAAGCTGTTTTTGTTACTTTTTTTTTGCCATCTTATTTGTAAAAAAATAAAATCTGTATGCCTTTTTATAACAGTCTACTGTTGTCCATTGTTGTCATCACTCTGTTGAAATCAGGTCTCTTGTAAATGAGTCCTCGAGGCTCAATGGGATTAAACGAACAGCAGAGGGCGGCACAAAACAAGTACGGGCTGCTGTAGGAACCTTTAATTGGTTACAGTTTCTCGACGGACACTATTAGCAGCGTACCGCACCTCCTATCTGGCGAAATGGAAGTGTAAGATTTTACTTTCAAAACGTTTTCATTTATTTTATCACTGTATATTGTTAAGCAGCAGCTGTATAACACGTGTTATCTAGGGGTCGGAGCAAAGCGTTGTGGGTTAAAAAATGTTGAGCTTCTGGTTAATTTAAAGATCAAGTGTGCGAGGCGTTCGGTTATACGCACACATCGACATAGAACGTAAAACAGACCATATTTTATATTTAATTTTTTTACACTTATTTAATTTTATTTAAATATTGAGCATGCACAAATATTCTTCATTTTATAGTTTTGTTCTTCCAGTTTTGTTTAAATAAACTAAAATTAGGACAACAATTGGCAATTCTTTAAGGTTCATGATCCATTTGTTTTCAATTTAATTGTCTTTGACCAACCTCATTGCAACACTGACTGATTTAAATTTAATGTATTTCTGTATACATTATGAATCAGTTTTGTTGTATTTCATCATAAAAATACAGAATCAAACGTCAGAATTCAAACAAACCTCTTTTATTTTCTTTGTCTTAGTTAATGTTGTTAATTCACTATTTATTTGTTTATGCTTTTTTAAGTCCAGAGCAAACACTTTTGTTTAACGTTTCTATTGTTTAAAGCCAGCTTCCTTCTTGTTTGATATCAATTTAAAAATAATTATTGATACATAATTACATATACATAATACATAATTTCGCTCCACCACATGTACCACATGAGGTGTGAATGACAATAAAAAATCTCTGACTCTGATGGAGAGTACGTTTAGATTTTTAAGTGTGACTTTTTAAACGCACTGTTGTAAAGGGATTATTCTGCAGCATCATAAAACGAGACAGAACCCAAGCTTTGTCAAACTTTAATGGGCTGTTTTAACTTCAGTAAATGTAATTCTTTTTAAGGTGAAGTTTATTTTAAAGGTATAAACCTTTACACATAGAGCATTTTTCACTAGTTTATTATATTACAGTGACATCATCTTAAACGCTTCGTGTTGTTTTGGTTTCAGTAAAAATGCAAGCGCTGCAATGCTCAGCAACTATGAGGTAAGTCAGAGTGTTTGTCGTCACATATCAACACTTTCAGTCAAATAGATCAGTTTTGTTCGTCTGCTTGTTTCTCAGGTGTTCAAACTCCTCACAGACTTGAAGGAGCAGAGAAAAGATGCCGGGAAAAGCAAACACAGCGCCGGGCAGCAGAACCTCAACACGATCATGTATGAGGTAGTTGCACGTCTTTATTTTCCCTCACTTCACTTTTGCTTCTGTCATATTCGTTCCAAAAACACACCTACGGTTTCCTCTGTTTGCTCTCAGACTCTGAAGTACCTGTCGAAGACGCCGAGCAGCAGACAAAGTCCTGAGATCGTCAAAGAGTTCCTCACCACTATGATGCCTCACAAACTCACCAAGTCGGTTGGAGCTTACACAAGCTTTTATCAGTTACATTCTTATTCTTAAGATGCATTGTCTTGTACATTAGTAAAGACTCCATTTCACGTTATAGTCTGTCTCGTCAACAGGGCAGAAAAACTACAACTGTTGAACCACCGACCACAAACTGCAGTGGAAATTCAACTAGTAAGTCTTTTTCATGGACCTGACACAGAACTTACTTAAACTTGTAGGCTAGTGGTTCCCATAGACCAGGACTGGACTCTACCGGCTTAATCAATAGTTTTGTTTGTGTATGAATTAAATCTGTTATCTGTAGTTTATTTGACCTCCAACTATTCGAAAATAGAGAACTCTTTTGATTTAAAATCATTTTAAGTGTAGTATCTAGGTCATATGTGTCAAACTCAACGCCCGGGGACCAAATTTGGCCCTCGTTGACAGCTTATCTGGCCCCCAAGATGATATGTGAAACATAAAATACTTCTATCTCTTGAATTTTTCAGTAATCTTTGATTATGATGTCGAAAGCACAACAGAGAACATCAAATGAGACCAATCAAGCTCTTGTTGAGGAACCTGTGACCAAGAAAAGATGCTGGGTATCTGATTTGAGTTGATGTAGATTCTGAAATTGGCCCTTAGTTTCAAAAAGGTTTTAATTTTGGCCCCCTTTTTAAGTGAGTTTGACACCCCTGATCTAGGCCAAGATTCAAAATGTAAAAAACTACTTTTTTCTTATGGCTTTTCCCTCTTTAGGGTTTGTCATGGCGACTCATCCTCCTCCACCTCACTCTGTCCTCGAAATCCTCTTGTCCTCACCCAGTACCTCCATGACCTGTTTTTATTTCCATTAAAACACGAGAAACATTTCAAACACAAAGCTGAAGAAGCAGAGCAGTGAGCGCAGGCCAAACAGAAGCAGAACAGACGTATAGGTTGAAGAAATGTAAGAATTTGGTTTCTACTTAGTTTAGTTGTTTGAACTGGTTAGTTAGTTGTTGGGGTTTTTTTTTAATTGTGTGATAAATAAATACTGTACTCAGTATTTATTATGTATATTATTATACAGTATGATTATTTTATGTATAATCTTTTTAAAATAAATATTCTTAAACTATAGCTGACTAGAAAATATGTTGTTTTGTTAAATCCTCGAAGTCTTAAGGTTAAAATCTTTTTTTCTTCATATTTTCATTCAACCTTTATTTATACAGGTTAGTCTCATTGAGCCACGAGGACTCATTTACAAGAGAGACCTGTTTTAAACGAACATGGATTATATTCATATTAATTTTTATACACCCCTCAAAGGCAGACATGCTATATTCTTCCTTCATATGCCTGTATACTTTCTCTTGTTCCGACTATAACTTCTGATCCACTCAAGATAATTTAACAAAACTTCATGCTCATGTGCATCATCATTAAAGAGTCAGGTCACATTTCATCACTCCAGCTCCAAGGTCAGGGTCACAAATCAAGGTCAAAGTAAAAACAAGGCCTTTGCTTGTCCCGTCCAGAACTTCTCACCCATTTAAGATAATTTAACAAAACTTCATAAACATATACATCATGACTAGACAGCGTTTTACAAATAGTTGTCGTCACTCCAGATCTAAGGTCAAAGTCTTTGTCCGCACCGTTTCTATAGCTTGCTGTATAACAGTTTGTTGACAGGCATAAAATCATGTGCCGTTTGCTGTACTCTTTTTTTTTTTTTTTCCAAGTCACTTTTTGATTGATGAGAAGTTGGCGCATAACCTAACATGTCATGAACGATGAAGGATGTTTATTTTATTTTTCACAGTAACATCAATAGTTTTGAGCAGAATTATAAAACTACCTCCGCAGCTGTCCTGACAATGAATTTGTATCACACAAAAAATAGTCCGAACCGGATATTCTGCTCGGTTGTGTGCTTGAAGACGTTAGTCGCAAGATTTATTTCATCTGTGGGAACGGCCTTGGCAAAGGCTGTTATTTAGTCATTGTTATAATTCTTTTAAGTTTTATCACATCTGTTTCTGTTTGTAGAGTTTAATCTGGCTTCACTGAGTGGTAGATGTTTTATTTTCCAGTTTTCTGGGGCACCTAACAATTTGTTGACCTCCTTTAAATTTAGAACATCTGCAGTTCTATAAAAAGTGGCAAACTCCATCTGCACAGAAAAACACGTTTGATCATAATATTAAAAAAAACCTCTTAAATGGATTGAGAGTTTTTAAGCCGTCTAAAGTAAAGAACCAAAGTGCTTGACGTGAAATCACTCGGATATACAATATATTTATGTAGTTATATGTAGAGAAATGTAAAAATGGTCTGAAACTGCTTTTTTGGGGGGGGGGGGGGGGGGGACAGTTAAATCAGTTACATTCTTTACGATGTTACGTTTTTTTAGAGAAACATATTTTTTAAACTAATTTTGTCCCTTTTGTTTCTTGTGCTTGGTGCAGCGGTAGCTCGGTGGTCCGTGCTGCGGTCTTGTAACCCTGAGGTTGCATGTTTGAGCCCAGGTTGCATCAGGAAGGTCATCCTGCGTAAAACAAATGCCAAATGACAGAAACTTACCATTTTTCTTCTTGTGTTTAGATGGTAGAGGAGAGTGAAGAGCGTTTGTCAGAAGAGCAGATAGAGGAGCTCATCCAGACCGTCGCAGACGTCCTACCAGGTGACCCGGAGCAGGAAAACGCTGACGCAGAGATGGACGAGGGCTGAGGACAGTCATGATGCAGCCACAGGCCAGAAGTAGACTGGACCAATACCTTTTGAACAGCATGCTGACAGACGGGAGTACCAGGAGCTGTCTGATTGCCTTGTAGACTCATTTTGGTGCACAGCGGATCACCTGCCTGGTGTTTTTTCAGTCGGGAAAGACCAAAAGATGGATCTTCAGCTGAAAAGCTTAAATCTGTTTTAAACTGTTTGAATCATGCGGACAGGGATTTTTACAGTTACCACCTTCAATATGACCTGGATTGCTTTCTCTCAATGTGTGTTTCAAAAAGAATATAAAATGCAGAAAAGGTCTGATTGATTTTCAGTGCATCTTCTTAGGTGTCTTAATTGGTGCAACAATTGATTTAAAGTAGCAGCTTTGGGATGCCTTAAACTTGTTTTTAGGAGCATATTTTTATATTTTATTTTGCACATTTTGTAAAATGCAGCTCTCGTCGCACAAGTTTAAAAAAAAAAAGCTCATGTTTTTGTGTCATTGTGTCACCGCAGAGGAAGGATGCTGGTTTCTGTTTTTGGCTTCCTGTTTGTTTATCACATCAGTTTCTCTCTGAGCACTCAGGTTCAGCAAAGTAAATGTTGCAGAGGGTGATTTTGGACCAGCGTGTTTCTTATAGTTGGAAGTAAACACAGAAGCAGCAAAGCCTTATGAAATAAATAAATGAGAGAAATTCTGAAGTTCTGCAAACGCATTTGAGGACTGAACTGACCTCACACTGAAACTGGTGGGATCACGTAGGGGTGGCATCCCGTAACCTTAGACTCCAAGGTTTTAAACATTTTATACCTTTTCTTGAGTTTAACATAAATAAATTGGAGACTAACTAGGCAACGTGGTAGCTTGTTACAGTTTTTGGCGCGGTTGTTTGCGCATGTGTGATGACCTATGGGTCATTAAAGGTTAGACTGGCTGTCCTTTATGTCAGTCAAGTGACAAATTTCATAGTGAGGATGGACGATAGGCTGACTTCTATTTTTTTTGTTTTGTTTATGCCATGTGATCTACCCATACAAGCTTTGCGATCAACCAGTAGATTGTGATCGACGTATTGGGCACCCCTGCTAGAGCTCGGCCCAGCTGAGCACCCCCTGAGTGTTCCTGATTCATGTGTTGTTCATTCATCAATGTTTTGTATTGGATGGGTTTCTAGTTATCTCTTAGATCGAAGGCAATGTGTTCAACATAATGGTACTTCTTTCAGCTATAACTGTCAACAATGGTGCACCACAAGGCTCAGTCTTAGGTCCCACCCTCTTCATAATCTACATATATAATGTAGATCGGTCTTGGTCTGAGTCTTCCCTTAGCCCTGTTTGTCATGAGAAACCCAACCAGAGGCTGATTACCCAAACAGCATAGACCCCCATGATTATAGGGATACTCAAACCCCTCCACAAGGTGGCAATTTTGTGGAGGGGGTGAAAACAAAGCAAATGGCCAAAATGACTTCTCTGTAGGGTGGCTGTGCTCAGCCTTAGAAAGAGCGAGGAGCTCCGTCATCCAGGGAAGAAACTCCAAAGAGCCGCTGCTCCGTCGCATCAAAAGGAGTCAGTTGAAGTGGTTCTGGAATCTGATGCCTCCTGGACGCCTCCCTTTGGAGGTTTTCTGAGCATGCCCCACTGGGAAGAGGCCCCAGGGAAGACTCAGAATTTGCTGGAGGGATTGTGCATCTTCTGTAGCTTGGAAACACCTTGGGGTCCCCCAGGAGGAGCTGGAGAAAGAGGTTTAGGTTTCTCTCCTGAACCTACTCCCTCCGTGATTTGACTTGGAACCAAACAAGTGGGAGACGATGCAAAAAAAAATTTTTTATTTGACCATAATTAGTATGGAAGAAACTAAAAAACAAAAAAGATGTATCTGTAGAATTGCAGCGGCAGCGTTCGTTTTTTTTTATATCTTGTTTATCAACTTATATTTGCTCATATTTTTTGTTGTAAAATTACAATATTGTGTTGTTTTATGGAGAGTTTCCACACCAAAAAAAAAAAAAAAAGCAATAGGGGCTCAGTTATTTTAAAAAAAAAAGTCTTTGTTTTGCAAGACTTGTCCAGGGATTTGGACAAAAATAGTTTCAACAGTAAATCTTTAAAGGTCAGCAAGTGTAAGCTGTGGTGTTTACAAGGAGAAGTGACTATAGGGAACACTATAAGAGAACAAAATTAAAGCATTTCACCAATCCCTACTGTTCACATGACGTTTCACCAAGCATCTGTAACTTTGGTATTATCACATTTTGTGTCTGACACACTGTTCACAGAAGATAATGACTCCAAGGACTACAAGAAAAACTTTGTCAGACTTGAGAACTTGCTCGCTTCTGTGGTTTAACATCAACACAGTGAATGCAAGCACTGCTGCAGCACAATCAATCTGTTTAAACTGTTTAAAGTTCACAGACTGGGTTGAAGATAGTTAATAGATGCCCTGCAGCTCATTTTTTGTCCTGTTCAGACTCAGTGTGTTAACATACAGCATGTTGACTCAGTGTTCTCTTAGCAGTCTTGGCATATCCAGCTCATTCTGAAACAAAAACTACTTATTATCATCCACTAATCGATTACCTAGATTGAGGGATTATCAATAAAAGTTAAAAGCCACTTTTCATTTTAATTGTCACACAATCAGCATTGTCCTATATGAACAAACTGTATTAATTATTCATGGATCTTATTACTCATTCATGAACTTCAGTGGTTATTTAATGTTTTATTGATTTATTTTGTCAGGCCTGTTCACACTTCCTCAGAAGCCTCGATCCGACATGAGTATCCTTCCTTGTAACTTTGTAAGAGCATCATAACGCCTCGCTAATGAAAAGATGAGTAAATTAAATGCGGCGGCTTTAACCCCCAGTAAATCCCACATTGTGATTAAATTTCACTCGGTGCGCTTTTGCTGAAAGCAGCGATCGATGCAGTAAAGTAATTTTAGCCTCGAGAGAGCAGGGGTGGGAAGAAATGTTTTCTAAAAGTAACGGAATTGCCCTTTAACGCTCCAACCAATAGGAATCGTCCAAGCAGATGTGGTTTAGAATTTCGTGTTGCAGTCGACCAATCAGCGACGAGCTTTCTCCGCCTTGCTGCGCTCGTGCCCACTGTTTTTTTTTCCCCCTTTCTCACAGTCGTACAAACCTCTCGACTTCTTGGCGCAAAGTTACTCTTGAACCAGTAGGAAAATGTGTAAATGTGCGTTTTTTTTTAATTCACAATATCTCGTAGACATAACGACTGTAACCTGAGCCTGCTACTGAGAGAAAGGGAGAGGAAAAAATGACGTGTCTTTGAAGAGAGAAGAGCTACATGTTTCAGCCGTTTGGATCAATTTTCTCACGATTCTTCGAACGAAGACAATTTCGTCATTTTGACGGACGCTGGTGAGCTGATACCATTTTTAATCGCATTTGAGTTTTAAAACGCTGTTTGCTGCTCACACACCGAAGGAATCCGTCCATAGCAGGTAAATGTGGGTGAACCAGTGACGAGCTGGTCGACAGCTTCGGGTAAATGTATTCGCTTTTTATCGATGAGAGGTTTTTGTACCGTCTGGGCCTCCGTTCTAAAATTATCCTCACATAGTGTGCAGCTCAAAGTAAAAGACAACAGATGCGATTTGATGAGAGCCTTTATTTAAATGATCAGATCAGATCTTTGGCAGGATGTCTGCTTTTTACTTGTAGTTGGAAGCAGGGCATAATTCAAGTCTCAGGTTTCCTGTCAACTTTTTTTTTTTTTACTTTAAAGTCAACTCAAGTCTGTGACCTCAGAGTCCGAGCTAAAAAAATCAAGGTCTGAGTCAGACCTTGGTTTTTTTCTGTTTTTGCTCGTTGGCTGATCTGTGAGCACAGTGGCCTTTTCTAAGTCAGTTTATAGATTTGTCAAGGTCCTTTTGTTTGTTTAAGCAAAATCCACAGTTTAATTATCTGACAGGTTTTATTTTGGCCCAAGTTAATTGTGTGTGTGTGCATATATATATATATATATATATATATATATATATATGTGTGTGTGTGTGTGTGTGTGTGTGTGTGTGTGTGTGTGT